TTTTCACAAATACTGCTCACTACGACTATTTGCCTATTATTGCTCTTCAAAATGCAAACAAAATAATAATTTCAATATGCTGAAGGGATTTGGAGATAAAATACAACTCAATGGGAGGTCAAAAAGTTTTTTTTTCGGTACTATTTCATCAAAAACTATTTTGGTTTATTCAACCAATCTTTCTATCCACTAGTTTTCTTAGTATACGATGCACCTGTAGCTGGAGGCTTTAAAAAATAGCCATTGTTAATGCTTTGGCAACAGCCTAAATTTGTGAAAAAATGTTACACATTTTTTTAGAAAAAATCTGCATTTCTGGGCGTTTTTTTTAAATATTGCTCGCTAGGATAGTGTTTCTTTCTTATAGCTCTACAAAATGGAAAAACAATGGTTTCTATTTGTAGAATGTTCAATATGTTGTTTTTGGAGAAAAGTATATCGAAAAGTGAAAATATTCAACTCAATGGAAAGAGGAAAGTTGCCATTTTTCAGAACCATTTTTCAAAATCTATTTGGTCTATTATAAGCAATCTTTTTATGCTTTATTTTTCTTAGTATACGGCGCACCTTTAGCTTTTTAGAAAATAGTGAATCGTTACCGTTTTGGCAACCACCTAAATTTGTTACAACATTTTACACTTTATTTTTTCTCAAAAAAATTAATTTCTCAACTTCTGGCTTCTGGTTTTCTTGTTAAATATTCAACACCCGGGATGATTCTCGAGTCTGCGGGTAATTTATTACTGTAAGTAGCAAAAGATGGAAATCCGGGAGACTATGAGAAGCCAATAAGGTCGACTCGGCACATGTTTGTGTGTATGTTGGTGCATGTGCGGATTTGAGCCTATATAAATTCAAATCCAAATTTTGAAATACTGCTCATTACGATTGTCTGTCTAATATTATTATTTTAGAAGGGTTCGCAATAGCAGAGGTCATATCAACCCTCAGGGTGCCGGTGTTTTTGAAAAAAGCCCCGAATGCAGGGCGGCTGGATTCGAACCCGGGACCTTTACCTTACAGCGATGAGCGCCGTGTCAACGCCTAAACCGTTCCGGCCCGTTTGTTTAATATTGCTCTATAAAGTGTAAAAAGAATGGTTTCAATATGTTGAACAGTTTTGGACGAAAGGTGAAAAAATACAACTCAACGAAAAGCGATTTTCAGGTTATATCTTTCTGCTGCCGGTCAATTTACGCCATAAAACCTCTACAGATTGCTTTTGCAGAAGGGATTTGATAGACGATGTTTCAGTTTAAAACGGTAGTTTTGGACACGTTGGTAGAATATACATAAAAGACGAAAATTGTCAAACAGCTCAAGGCGATTTGCTTGTCCATCAATGCACCAGAGTGATTCGCAACTTTCCAAAAAATATTTGAAACACTTCTAAAGATCGGAATCCCACGCGGCCAGTTTTATTCTGTTCAAAAAAGCTTATAGTTCAATTAATTTTTTTTGTCATTAAGCCCTGTTTATATGAAACGTTTACTTATGTAATACAGTACAGATGTCCTGGAGGTTGATGAGGAAGTGGGTAAATGTTATTCTTCAATTTAGGCCTGCTTTTGTTTTCGAATGTTGAAAACATTTATTTTATACATTCGCAGCAAATGTACAATGAGAATTGTGTTAAAAAGTAATTCACACCGACATAATACTTCCCTGTTCTTTTAAACTCTACGAATGGAAGAAAAGCCGCGCTAAATAAAATCTTCATTAATAAAATATTTAAATTACAAAACGCCCTAGTAAAAGAAAGCCTCGGCTTTTAATTGAGTTGGCAGCAGTAAAATCAATTTTTTCTTAATCGGTTCCCTTTAAAAAGTTGAACACCGCCCACGCTCGAATTCCATTCGTGTAACGCCTTCCGATAATATTTTCAGGGAACGAGACCAACATTTATTATTAACAATCGTATATTTAACTACGAACTCGCACATGAACATTAAATAATGATCTTGCTATCAAAAACCGATAGCACAGTGGAATCGATCAACTTGTACATTATGCAGAGTTTCATTACACCTGTGTAAAAAGCGACCTGTCTATTACAACAGCTGACAGCTTTGTTATTCGAGAGTCGGTTAGAAAAATAATCAAGCTTTTATTAAGCACGCGCGCATGATGAAATATAATATTCACAACCGTTTTTATATGCTGCTCTTTTTTTTTTTTTAGGAACATTGTGTATTTTCCTATTAAAAACTATAATCCAACACCTCAATAATCAATCACTCAATTTTTGAGTATGATGTGTTTTATTATATTTTTTTATTGAATAATGGACATCGTTGCTTGGGGGGGGGGACGCGTGGAAGACTCTTATTTGCCACGCTAGAGTTCGAACCTCGCCATAGCATGAAATTTTAATTGATAATAATTTTTAAAAAAATTTCAAGCTTCAAAGTATTTTAAATAAAGTGTTTTTGAAAAGTCGTTAAGTCTTTCTCATTTGAGATATCATATTTTCATAAAAGTGTTTCGCTAACTTAAAATGGAATTTCGACGATCTCAAAGCCATGGGAACGTGTAGGGATTGAAGTGTGAAACTTTTGGAATCGGAAACGGATCAATAGGTTGACAAAAGTAATGTTGAGTTCAGAGTAAGGTTAGTGATGTAGTAAGGAGCTTTGACGATTTGTCTGAGGACTTTTGATCGGAGGGTTTGGATGAGCTGTATATTGGGTGGCTTGGCTGAACCACACAGTTCCACTCCGCAGTTCAAAGTGGTCACTGGAAAGTCTTGTATATGGTTAGTTTAGTGTTGATCGTCAAGACGGATTTATGTCCCAGAAGTCTCTTAGTTGTCCAAGTCTTCTTTTAAGTTGTTTAAGACTTGTGTAGGGATTCCATGTCACCAAGTAGTATTTGACTTGAGTGGAAGTCGTTATCTGTTTGTTGATAACAGTCTTATCCTCGACTTTTTGCACCAGTCTTCGATAAGGTCAAGGTGTTCTTAGATGGTCAAGGTTGCTTGGATAGGATTCGAGATAAAATTTCGGTATCGTCCGTGTAGGTGATGGTGATATTGGGGTGTGCAGGAGATCAGCAGAGATTATCTAAAGGATGCTCCCTTGTGGAACGCCGGCATCTGTTTTACTTCCGAGAACGCGTTACCACACCTCATTCTGAAGCAGTTAGATAGGATTTATTATAGGATAGGAAAAGTAGTGCGTTTTTGTCATTAATGGTTTTTATAATCGCGTAGGGGAAAAACCATAGATCAGACTCCTAGGAAAGTTTGTGACGTCTATGGCGAGACTTTATTAGAAAGTACCGTCTGTGTAACGCAAAGCGATCGTCGGTCGTCCTTCAGTTATCGATTATGACTAAATTCAAGTTTGGTCACAAATAACCACAATCATCGTATAGGGATTTAATATATGACTTTCAATGCATCTGAGAATAGCTGTTTTTTTTATTTTTTTTTATTGGTTTATTATTTTTCACAGACAGAACAATTTATTGGATCTTCAGCTGAGATTTTCCTGTTAAAACACAATGTAATCGATATTTTATTTTAAAAGATTGATAAATATATAAAAAGTGGTTCTTATAAGACAATGTTCAGAGAGGAGAATCCATGGAAAAAGCAGCGACACACCGTTCACAACTCCAATAGCCTGATTACCTCCCAAAAAATGGGCATTTGGTGGTATTGGAATGGAGTGCTTTATTCTTATTCTTCTTATCAACCAAACCGTCAATCCTAGTATACACTGCACAAAATCGGATTCATGCTAGTAATTGGTCAAAAACGGACTGGCATTGACTAATCGCAAGGGAATGTACCCCGACACTGCCCTTCAGATTTTTACTTATTCCCGGCTCTTAAAAGTTCTATGTTGAAAAATACTTTAGTTCACTTGAGGATTGCCGAGGAAAGAATTGCAGAATTACATGGAACATGGTCACATTGGAGTAAAATATTTAATACTTTATTGAATACATTTCTTTAAAGTATCTATAATTTTTATATTGAATTTACTATCAAAACCTCTAAGGATTTATTTTATGTCCCGACTTTCTTTTATTAAATTTAAAACCTTTTTTTTGTGAGGTGAGTTAAGACAAAAAACGACTAAATGTTGGTCGAATTTGTTTTAACACTGAACCGATTAATGAAATTTCGTTAGATTAAACAATGAGAAAAGACTGAAAGGATCCAAATTAAAATATATCTCGATATACTGCTGACCCTACCACTACAGTAACCCTAAAATGATGCACAGCCTAACCCTACCGTTACCCTATTTTGACCTTGACGCCGTCCTTTCATTCACGCCAATAAATGCATTCTCTCGCATAGTGTCCATACTATTGTGTAGTCACCAGGGTTTTTGATATCACGCCATACACTTCCTCCTGTCACATTGCAAATATTTATAAAACCAAATAACCTAAACTATTTTGGCGTGTTTGTACGTATTCGATATTCCAGCACAAAAACGCACAAACTTCAACGTTCACGCCAATAAATATATTCACACGGAGTAAAAATATCTCTCTTTCACTATCCTAAATTAACCTAATTGGTTCGACAAGTCTGTGGCTACTCGATATTCCACACAGACCATATCCATACACTTAACACTCACGCAAATATATACATTTACACAATTCGGTAGTCATCAGAGTTTTTGATATCAAACCAGTGACGAAGACTGCAAATATAACACTAAATAACGTAGATTACTTTGATGTACATGTCCATCAAACATACACCTAACAATTAATTGGTCAAGCAGACCACGAAATTAGTGAATTTAATCATACACCAAACGTTCACGCTAATAAATACATTCAATCAAATTAAGGATATTATTTCAACCTATGTACGAAAGGGCTCCCTATTTGGGATCTTAAACGTTTCGAATTAATTCTGATTTAATAAGAGTCTCATCATTCATATCTGCACATGTTGAATTATAAGTAAAAACATTTTTATAATTTAAGTATAAAAAATAAAAATTTAAAAAACAAATAGGCATAATTACCTTAATTGTTTTATTTTGAAGACGTAGCCCATTAAGCGTGTTGATTGCCTTTTCAGCGTCTTCAGGCCTGTGATAATTAACAAACCCATATCCCAAACTTTGACCTACAACAAGTCATTATCGTTTAAGTGAGTCTAGCGAGTACAAAGCCTGTAGGATCATTTTAAATGGATAATAATAAATATCATAAAAAGACATTGCAATTGGATTAATCTATTAATCATTAATTACAAGTGACAGTCGGGCGAAGCCAGGATAATTAGCGCGGTTGTAAAACCGGTGATAAAAATCTCATGAAGCATCTGGCCCTTAATTTGTCACATTTTGAATTTATTGTTATGCAACTTGTACTAAATAATGTTTACAAGTAAATTAAGACGCTGCCCAGTGATCGATGTAAAAATGACTGGACTGTCAAAATCTCTAGCCAAATTTTGAATGAATCCAGAGATTTTACAAAAAATTTCTGAGTGAAGAAGATCATTGGAAAATTCAAAAAAAAACGCATAGTATAATGAACTCGATAGATACCTGTAACTTTGTCTCTTATAAGTTTGCAGCTCTCCACGTCACCAATAGAAGAAAATAAAGACCGGATTTCTTCTTGTGTCATTGTCTGGGGGAGGTAGTTGACTATTAAATTAGTTTTACTCTCTTCTTGATTGGTGCCAGGCTGTGACGATGAGTTGTGAGAGTTATTCGAGGACGTAGTGGAACTTGTGTGTATTGAACCATTTTGTTGGGGTAATGTATCCATCCCGTTCATCATTCTTCTAGCCTAAAACAAAAAAGAAAACATTAAAATATGAATTGATGAAATGAGTCAACATGCAAAGTGTCAAATGGAAATAGTACGCTTCGTAATAAAGGTATGATGTTTAATAATCATTTTAACAAAAAGGACGAGAGGAAAAATGTTGGGCTCAGTATTGGTCCTTTTAGAACCGAGCACTTTTCGAATTAGGGGAAAAAATTAGGGCTTGCCGAATATCTACAATAATGAAGAAGTAAAACATTAGTAGACACACTAGAGCTGATGATAAACGTTGAAAAATATGCTGGAAGTTTTGAAAAAGCACAAGGGTGAAAGTGGTTCTGATCATTTTGGTCTGCCTATCTGTGTTATATTGTCGGATGCTTTTCTTGTTTCCATAAGATTCTGTTTTTAATAATTTCGGTTAAAATACACCGATGAAGATGGCGTTTGACAGTCTTTCCCGTATACTCGGTCGTCCTAAAAAGGACAATGAGGACTTTAACGTCCGCACCTAGCCTATTCGGCCTTATCGGACGTTTTGATTCTCAAGATGAGAGCTGACGCACCTTTACATACGACAGAATGGTGTTATTGCCGCAGCATTGGTGTAGAGGCAGCTCAGCCACGAAGGGCCAAGACAACCTCGCTCCTCGCTTGCCCATTCCGAGTGGACGGGTCTGCATTAAGCATCAGAACGTATGTCGCGCGCAAAGGGCTAAGCCGAAATACATCAGCCCGGTCTCCCGCGCACTCCCTAGGTAAAGAAGGCCACTCTATATCCCAGAGTATTGGGGCTGACGATAGACCAAAACGCTCGGAAAGTACCATTACCGCTCTAATGTACCAAGTCCATTACTACTCCTCGCAATTAAAATTTGAGAGCACAGCAAAAAATTGTCAGTACAGTTTGGAGTGGGAAAAACCAGCTGATTCACCGATGATGATGATGATAAGAGGTTATTAAGAAACGGGATTTTGATATATTCCAAGAACTGCAGCCTTTTGGGCTTTGGCACTTTCCCTAGTTACGTTCAGTCTAATTGACTAGACCCTTCTTTTAAGTCATCGCTGCAATTCTTTTCTCCGGTCTTCTTGGTACGCTAAGTTATGTCTTCCATGCGCAATTGCTTCACATCTGTTGATACAGGTAGTTTCTTCTTACTCATGGCATAACCTACAAATGAGGTCTTCGTTGAATATCCCCATTTTGTTTAGGTGTGTTTCCCAGATGCCAGTGACTAGTGAACTCTGTCACACTCCCGAGTTGATGACTGTCTATGTCTGGCACCATAGTAAATACTTAATACCAAAGTAAATAGAATTCTTCTATTTCTGACCTCACAATAACTGTCCATTGATGATGACGATGATTGCAGCTACTAGGATGCGGAAGTTTGGTATTTTACAATGCAGCTTTTTGGCTTATTGAACTTGTCGTAGGTCCTTAGTTCAGTTCAATTCACTCGAACCTTCTTCTAAAAAGTAGTAGGTCATTTCTCTGACCTTAAGCTATGATGATAAGCAGAGCAAAACGCTCTGAAAAGACCAAACAATAATCATCACCATTCTGATCTCACAATAGCTTTCCGTTGATGATTATTATAAGAAAAACTAGGAAGCGGGGGTTTGGTATTCCGCAAGCTTTACAACCATTTGGCTGTGTTTTTCCTAGTTCCTTAGATCAGTTTAGTCGATTCTTCTTTTAAAGAAGTAGTTGGTTATTTGTCTGTCCTTAAGATCTTAGGCAGAGCAAAACGCTGTGAAAAGATTAAACTACAAATCCATCATCGTTCTGACCTCACAATAACTGTCCGTTGATGATGATGATAAGAAAAACTAGGAAGCAGGGGTTTCGTATGCCACAAGCACTACAACCTTTTGGCTTATTGTGTTTTTCCTAGTTCCTTAGATCAGTTTAATTGCCTCGATTTTTCTTTTGAAGAAGTAGTAGGTTATTTGTCTAACCTTAGCCAAAGATGATACGCCGAGCTACTGTGCCATCATTTTTTTTTTTCAATGTTAAATATCCCATTACCAATTTTTCGCGATGCAAATCAAAAACTGAGAGCTGGTTTTTGATTAACACGACTGTCTTTTAAACAATTCCCAATGGAATAACACCAATTTGGATAAAATCAGTGTAACATTTATTATTAAAAATCTTACCTCAAGATTTTCATATTTATCTTATTTTTTAGAAGATATTCACGTATTGCTTGAAAAAGCGAAACTAGAACTAGGTACGGGAAAGTCCTGCTTTTTTCAGAATAAAGGCCCAATCATAAACTCAACCAAGTTTTTAACGGGGGCCCATTTCTGCAGTCACGGCTAGCCAATTAGTTTGCCGTGGGGGCCGGCCTGTTTTGTTCCTTTTTGCTCTCCTAGCACATTGTCGGTTGTCGAGGGGAGGGAAGTTAGTGAATTAGTGGTTAGTGGGCTTTTGTTTGTCGATATTTATTGCATCAAAAGCAGAGTTCGGATCGTTTTGAAAAATCATTTCAACAAAATCAACCAATTAAGAATATTTACAACCCCCAATTTTGTTTATAATCGATCAATTTTATTTCTTTAATTACATGCCAGTTCGTAGATCATTTAAAAAATTCTATATTGCTTAAGATATTATGAAAATCGTTTAAAAATGTCTCATATAATTCTTCTGGAACCCTTTCAGCAGCGAAAGAAGGAAAGAAGAAAATAGCAGTTAAGACTTGGCTCAATAAAAAGTACATTATGAACTGTAATGGCGATATTGATAACTTCAGGGCAATACATAAATAGGGTGAAAAAATGAAAGTAAAATTAAGATATATTATTGAAATCAATGTGTACTATAAGCAACATTTAAATGATGAGATTGAAATAATACAAAGTAACATGTCACAAGTGATTTGGTTGGTGATAAATAATACACAGAATTTCAATTAATTAATCTTTTTATGTAAGGTTTTGGTAGAAATGAAAAAGCTAGTGCCACGAGCGGGATTCGATCCCACGACCTTCGGCTAAATACGCCACTGCTCGTGACAGTAGCTTTTTCATTTCGACCAAAACCTTACATAAAAAGATTAATTAATTGAAAGAAGTAATTTGTTCAATAGATCACTAAATATGATGGATTTAATACGCAGAATAATGAAGCGAGCATGTATCCCCTGAGTATCACAATGATAATTTTTATGACAATTTGTGCGAATAGATTGCTACAAAGAGAAATTTGACTTTAAAAAAACTGTCATTATGGGAGACATGAATGCAAGAACAGGTTGTACAGTGCGTCATCTGGAGAAATGGAGGAGACGATGCAGAATTAGCAAGGATTCAATAGAGGATAGTGAAAGCCAAAAGTTGTTGTTCTGTGAGGTAAATGAAGCTCATATGATGAATTGAAGTGATAAACAATATGGCGATTACACTTATGTGAGTAAATTTGGAAACAGTGTTATAAATTGTAGTTTATTAAATCCATTATTTTTAGTAGTCTATTGACCAAATTGCTTCTTTCAATTAATTAATCTGTTTATGTAAGGTTTTGGTTGAAATGAAAAAGCTAGCTGGATTCGAATTTCAACTAACACCTTACATAAGATTAATTAATTGAAAGAAGCAATTTGGTCAATAGACCACTAAATATAATGGATTTAATAAGTAAAACGAAGTATAACTTCACTAACAGCACCCCTTGGCCATTTCATATGTCGCCGAGAATCGAATCCTGATTACACGACATTTGAAATATGGCAAAAAGGAGGGAAAATTCAAAAGGTTGTAGGTTGGTATGGGGAGTTGGTGTCCGAGTGGATCGATGTCAAGTGGTAGAGTAGGGGCGTATTTAGCCGAAGGTCGTGGGTTCGAATCCCGCTCGTGGCACTAGCATTTTTAATTTCAACCAAAACCTTACATAAAAGGATTAATTAATTGTAGTTTATGTTTTGAACATATCTTTGATATAATACTAGACTTTAGTATAAAACCATTTCCTGTATCAGCACACAATATGTTACAAGTGACTATTAATAACGTTAGAGGTGTTATTTATACAAATAGAAAACATCACGACTAAGCTTTCATTAACGAAATATGTGTGGAACCACGATTATGAAAAAAAAATTATAATTAAAAAAGGCTAATTTGATAACAATGGGTATAAACTAAGATATGAAAAATAATTATGTACACAATGCAGTAAAAAATCGAAAATTATTAATTAAAATATCTGGGAAGAAGTTGTTAGTTATTCTAAAAGATGTAAAATCGAGTTGTGTCTGTCATGACAAAGAGGTTAAGAAAAATAACTTGTAAATTGATTATAGTATATAGGCGTAATAAAAGACTTATGTCTTACATTAGTCAAATAAACAAATTAAAAACCTTCTTCCTAAGCTGATTCCTCGATGAAGTAACAAAAAATAAATATAATGTAAAAAAAAAAACAGTTTACTTTTCCATGGCCGATTGGCTCGATGAAAAGTAACAAAAGGGAAATATATCGTTTAAAAATAAACTGACTCCTCATCGAAAAATTAACAAAATGGAAATATTATGTTTTAAAAACCGAAGTCTTCTTTTTCCCTAGTCGACTTCTCGACGAATAAAACAAAAGTGGATTATAATGTTAAAAAAAACACCTAACAGATTTCTTCTTCCCTGGCCGAATTCTCGATGAAAAATGAACAGAAATGGAAATATAATGTTAAAAAAACTAAACCGCCTTCTTCTTCCTTGGCTGTCTTCTCGACGACAAAAATGAAATATAATGTTAAAAAACTAAACATTCTTTTTCTTTCCTTGAGACTCCTCGATTAAAAAATAACTAAGGGAAATATAATGTTTAAAAACACTAAACTTTTTCTTCCCTGGCCGACTCCTCGATGAAATGGAACAAAATTGAAATATAATGTTTTTATTTATTTATTTTTTTAAATTAATGTCTACCTTTTCCTATCTGACTTCGATGACAACGCAAAATAGAAACAACGTGTTGGACGAAAACAGACAACAATTTTTAAAGACCATTCAAT